ATGTACCCAACACTCCCAATATTTTATTGAGAAAATGTTTCTCAGTTGGTAGGGACAATCCCAACTTAAGCCTGCTGATAATAATTTCCTTTTAATAGTATCCTGGTTTAAGAAATTGTATACTACTTGTCTTCATTTAACTGAGAAGGGAGGATAATCCCAGAATGTAAGCAGTTATTTTTGTTGTTTATTTTCCTTTGTCAAGGAAGCTTAGTTTAGTGTGGCTCTGAGAGAGAACTTTAGAACCTGTCCCCTAGGCTTCAATATCTTGGTCTTCCTATAATTGAATGGTCTTGGCTAAACATCAGGTATGGCGTTGGGCATGTAGAGGGTCTTATTATTCACAGTTTTTCTCACTAAAGAAATTTAATCTTGGGAAGATTAAGTGACAGTGAGGTTTACAGCCAGGTGTTATTTTTTGAGTTCTGCTTGTGGTTAGAAATCGAGAATATGGCCCCCCAGTTGGTTTGTCTTTAGCATCTTATACTCCAGAGCTCTAACAGATCAACATTGAATAAAATTGATTTTTTTCTATAAATTGATTGTCTCATCTAAAAACAAAGTTACATTTATCACATTAGCATTTCTGCTGTCTTTGTGGCATGTGTGTGTGTGTGTGCATGCGTGCATGTTGTGTGTCTGCCAATGGCATTTTTAATAAGTTCATGCCCAGGAATGCAATCAGCAGCAGATCTACATTCAAGACTCAGTCTAAATTATGCCTTGAGATTAGAAAGGGTTAAAGTGCCCCACTCAGATCCCAGAATGGGACCACTTGGTAATATCCAGGCAGTGTAATGTCAAAATTATTAATTACTTATAGAGTACCATTAGTTATCTAGGCATCACACTTAGTTCAATTAGGAGCACAAACATTTTAGCAGGTCCACTGGGGAGCCAGGGAAAAGTTGGTGGTGAAAGGGGTAGGCAAGATGGAGTAGGAGAATCTACTTAGTTCCTAAGGATCTGAACTGACAAGTGGCACAATTCTCTTCTCTACAGACATAACCATTTTATACTTCTCTTTCTAAATTTATACTTTTTTGTCTTTTTTTCCCTCCTATTTCACTATACCTCACTGCTTCTTCTGCAGCTGTTGGCTTTGTGAGTGAAGATGAATACTTGGAAATTCAGGGCATTACCCGGGAGCAGTCTGGGGACTATGAGTGCAGCGCCTCCAATGACGTGGCTGCACCAGTGGTGCGAAGAGTAAAGGTCACCGTGAACTGTAAGTGGTCTCGCCAGTCCCCGACCCTTCATGTGCATGAAGCTGGCCTGCTTTCACAGCCACAACAACAAGCCACTCAGCAGAATCAACTGCTGACTCAGGATGAAAAAGAATACAGGACCATTTTCCACATTCTGCTTTCAAGACCAACAGGGCCAAAGTGACATTTTTGTCAAGTCTAGAAGTCATAGTGTCACACACACACACACACACACAAAAAAAAAAATCCTTAAAGTATATTAATATAAAACTAAATGTGACATGACTGGGAGATTATCAAATGGCATTCAATGCGTAAGTTATGTAAGTGCATTTTGAGAACCAAAGTTTCCCCATAACTTATTCACACAATGTGGTGAGACCCCCTTCTATGTATGGATATCATCCTTTTATAATTATAGATGTTGACATTCATGGTATGCATTCAAATTTTAAATTCAAACAGATACATTCTCTAATCCTGCGTACATGTGTATCTAAAAATTTGACTTTTACTAATAGAGGTTCAGGATCTGCAAAGTTTGGGAGTCACTGCTGTGCATACCTCATTCTGCTTTGTCAACCATCCAAATTCTCTCTGACATTGATACTATTTAAATTCCCTACTTGTACACCAGTCTTTTTTCTCTGGGTTCTTTTTTTTTTTTTTTTTTTTTTAATTTACATTGATTGACTCAGTTTCCTATGGCATTCTGAAGTTTTACCGTATTGTTTATGCTGCAGGAAATCTTATAGCAGAACAAAACCCAAGAACCAAGCCAGCAACAAGAATCCTTTCCATTCAATACTTGGGTGGGTGGGGGTACAACAAGGATACAGTACTACTGGGACCTAGGTAATATGAAGCTCTTTAATGAGTAAGAAAGTACATTTAACAAGGCTATCAGTTTTATGCTATTATGATATTTTTTACTCTATCACAATTTTAAAAGGACTTAAAATTATTTCCAACTCATAAAGATGAACCTAAAATGTAAAGAAATTGAAGCAAAGGAAAACTATATTAAGAAAAATGAGTAAAAGCTAGGGAAGATCAGCACATGAAATACATACCACTAAGTGGCTAAGTTCAGGTCCTGTATATAGCTTTGAATTGGTAGAGCAAAGAGAAGAAACATCACTTGCTTTAAGATTTATGCTATCCATAAGATAAAAGCAATTTATTTGCTTGGGAGAAACACTGCTTTTCCTGGCATTGAGACTGTAGAGAAAATTCTCTTCAGGTGTCTTCACAAATGGAACATTTTGAGATAACTCAACACATCATGTATGATATTATTTCTGCAACAAATAGAACAGCAAGTATATTGTGTCTTCTTCTTTAATACCTCTCAGTGCAAACTGTTGGAGCGTCATGGATAGTTTGGTAAAGACTTCAAATGAATGCAAACCAAGTATGTAGCTCTAGTTTGGTTTGGGTGAATTCAGGAATCCATGTCAGAATACTTAGAAAAATGACTGATCTATATATCCTTCAGGCAATTTTCCATGAATATTATTTCTTGTAACTGAGCTTTTGATGGGAATTGAATAGTTTGAGGTTATATACTTTGGCAAGAACCTGGTGTATAGAAATTCTATAAGGCTGATTAAAGTAGCTGACTGTCAACCCATGAAGTATAGGGTTGATATGTTGGCATCATCCTATGAAAGTTAACAAGTTTTCACAGGAAATATACCTGAATATCTGGTCATCCCACCTCTGCACAGAGGAGAACAGAAGCAATCTATGTTAGAAAGATCATGATTTTCCTTAGAATGACATTGAAAATGTTTTCATTCTCTGGCACAATTTACAGCAATTTGACAGAGCAAGTTAACAAAAGTAGGGCAGAGAGTAACCAACAAAATCCACGAATGAATAAGGCAGGCTTTTTTCTTTTGAAATGCACTTTGAAATGCGGTGGAATGTCTTCTCTCCGCAGATCCACCATACATTTCAGAAGCTAAGGGTACAGGTGTCCCTGTGGGACAGAAGGGGACTCTGCAGTGTGAAGCCTCAGCAGTTCCCTCAGCAGAATTCCAGTGGTACAAGGATGACAAAAGGTAACGTCCTCTCATCTCCAGTCCTCATCCTTTCTCCTCAGAAAAAAGCTTTTTTTCAGGTTCCTGATTCCAGATGTTTGCAAATAAATTCCAGTAAAATTCTCTTCTAAGGTTCTCCTACCTGTAGGGGGAAAATAATTGCAAACAATTCTTTCCTTAACATCAATAAAATTCAGCTAGGTTTTTTTATGTCACCATGCAGAATTATGAACAGGCCTGAAAGGTAGCATATTTTTAGGAAAGCAAAAATTGCCAAAGAAAGGCCACCAGAAAATTTCTAAAGGCCAGCAGATTTTTTCCAGGCCAAGAAAATAATGTGTTCTGCCTGAAGCTATTTTTAACACATTCTCAGGCTTGCTTTAAAGGGTGACTGAGGGGTTCTGGGAGGGGCACATAAGTTAGCCGCAGCTGGCAGTTCTCCACTTAAATTCCAGACACCATCAGTAATGCGTGCAAGAGTCCATGACCTGATTTAACCTTTCCTTTGTGTCCAGGTTGTTCTTTCTCTGTAGGAGAAAAGAATTGGGGCTATTCCCTTCCTCCCTATTGTTGCAGCCATCATTGGGATATTTGTTGTGAGTCACTGAAGATGATCATTTTGAGGAGTTATCAAATGGCATGTCAGTGCAGGGATCAGCAACTCAGTACAGCCCGGCAACATGGCAATTACTGTTATCAAAGAGCTATTTTTAAGGTGGATGAACAACAAAAATAAATGTGCAAGTGCTGTCTGTTCAGAATATTTTCATAAAAATGGAGGTGTTGGTGCTAGGAATGCAAAAATGTCCTGAGGTCTATGGGTAGAAGAAGAAGGAGTGATGGAGGCTGAGGGCTGATTAGGGGAAAAAACAGAGAGGAAAATCAAAGAAGAGTGATGTGAGAAATTTCAGCAATTTGTTGCCCATACACTATTTGATGTACCACAACTAATTTGATGCTACATACACTATGTTCAATGCATCTTGGTTTTCTTTAAGTCAAACATGGAATATTCTTCTACTTTTTGAATCAATAAATGAATTTCATTTGGGACTATCACACAATCGTAAGATTCATGACCTTATTAATCATAACCCCTCCAAGTGACAAGCAATCCTTTTTACATTTTAAGGACATATCTGGAAGCCTCTGGTGAAGAGTGCTATATTCATCCTGCCCATTTCATGAATGAAAGAACTGACATAGGAAAAGGGGAAATAAACTTGCAAAGAAATAGAAAGAAATAAAATTGGCTTTTGTCTTTCTTTCAAGAATTCACCAATCCCCATCATTCTTCACCACCCTTCTTATGTACTAGGAGGAAGCTGAGGCATAAAGATCTATGATGAAAAAAAAATACTAAACAACAAAAGAACAACACAAAACAAAACACTATTGAGCTGCAGGGTCAGTTCTTGAATTTTGAATTATCTAGGTCTTAGTGAAAATTAATCAGCTGCATCCCATTATTCTAATTCTTTATAAGAGAAAAATAGAAACAAAATATAGGGGGAAAGCAAGCTCTCAAAATATGCTGAGGAAAATACAGCACAAATGGCCAATGTTGAGATAAATGGAGAGGTTTCTTCTTTTCACAGCAACCACAGAGGGGGCCACGGTCTGCCCCAACATTTACCAAGGAGGAGAAAGGAGACTGTGATGTTTGTTAATGGTGCTTCTCAGAGGTCCTGGCTGAGGCAGCTTTGCTTCCTTTTTTATTTTAGTTCTTCTTATGGATTCTCCTTTGCTCCCTTTTCCACTGATTTTTCTCTATTTGTGACTCATTCATTTATTCCTTTCCAGTGTTCTCTCATGGAATGGAGTTGCCTTTTCTCCTGGCACCTGGCTGGACAAGAGTATCCCTGCCTTGTGGTCCTTGTCACAGTCAGCTGTGTCTGTGCCACCAGAGCTACCAGGCAATCTCCATCAGGCAACTGGAGGAGAATAGTTCTTAACCCATCTCCCATTATCAGGGAGATGAGCTGATTTCTGAGGGAAAATGAAAAGAATCTGGTGGGGACAGGCAGTGTTCTTAAAGTTTATGGTAGAAATCTTTTGGCATCGTACTAGTACCACGCCACCACCTACTACTTTGTGTGTGTTGTCAATCTGAAGCAGAGGAATTGGAATTCTGCACTTAATAAGGGCCACCCAACTACAGAAGCATTAGCAAATGAAAATCTACAACTTCATTAAGAAACTGAAGCCTCGTAGCAGTACTGGATGGGGGTGGGCAGAGTGTGAACACATGGAGAAGGGGAAAGCTGTCATCCCAGGAGCTGTGAAGTGCTGCAAAGTGATACTGGCCACCCTACACTGTTTTTAGCTAAAGACAGTTGAAAGCTGTCAAGCAGGAACCTGCTTCCGGTGAGTTGCTTCCCACTATGGAGCCAAAATCTAATTCACAGCTTAGTTCTGATGTGAAGGATTCTTCTTTCTCTGAGGAACACCATCAAAACTGAGAAAGGGATCAATACTTTGACTGGCTTATGGAAGCCTTCTGGTGGTGGCGTTGGGAGGCTTTCTGGGACAGTACCCCCTAGAGAAGCAATGGAGACATAATAAGCTGGAAATATAAAAGTGGTTTCTGACCACAGCAGGATTCCTTTTGCACAGTGCAAGCATTTTAATGAAGTCTGTGGACTCAGGCCAGTTCACTGTACCTTGATTTTTAGGCAGGAAGTCTCCCAGAGGAAACATCTTCATAATGAAAAGCAATGCAAATCCCTCAACCAACTTTCTTGGCAGATGGGTGAGAACATAAACTAGAACCTGCTTCTCTCTTCTGATAAAATTACCATCATAAGTTTTTGTGCTGGAGAGGATCATTCTGTAATCTCACAGAGATGAGGTTTCTGATGATACAAACCAGCTACACTCTATGCTAAAATACACCATAACCCAGGGACAGACAGGGATCCTCTTATCTTACACCAGAAAAACACATTACACTGAAAAACATTTTATAGTTGACAAAGCATCTCTTCATCATTGTCTTGCTGAGCTTCACTTTTCCTTTCTGCCATGAATATCGTCCTTCTTGGTTTGGTGATTTCAATACCAGCCATTTGCCCCAGTGCATGTCCCCTGGGCCTGATTCAGTGCTCATCCCCACTTGACATCACTTTCTCACTGCAAGTTTTGCTCCATCCAGGCCCTAAACGGTCAACTTAGGCATTTGTTCATGTTTTCCATGATCTTTTATGAAGAATGTTTTCTCCCCAATATTTTTTTTTTCTCTTTCCTATAGCACAGAATGAGCTTCTGGGCAAGGAATACAAATTTTCAGGGAAAGTAAAAGGTTGATGTAAAGCACTTTTCTTGGCATATTTTCCTGCCACATTGATTGCTCACAGAGACTGTCTTGATTCTACAAAGTCATATTCTTAGTAATTTCTAATCCTTCCCAGATTGATCCCCTATGATACCCTGGGGCGATCACTCTTCCTAAGTCCTTCAGAGTTCCCTGATATGAAAATAATCCTTGATTATTTTCTTCTTTTCCCAGATCCGCCCTGCAAAAAAAAAAGTCTTATCTGTAGAATGTCTCAAGTACTTATGGAAAATTTGTATTGCCCAAGTGCTTGAAAAAATAGTGTTTTTCAAACCTTTCAGGTCATGCATCTCTTTGAAGCTTCAGTTTTTCATTGTCATCATCAACATCATCATTGTTATCATCATCATCATCATCACTTTCATTAACATCATCAACAGTTCCAGACAAATACGTACTTTCCCTTATCCACTGCATGAATGATAGTCTCCTAAAGGCCAGAGAGATGATGGTGTATATTGTTGTGGCATAACTAAGAGGTAGCAAGAGTAAAATGATGCATTTCTTTTCAGAAGACTGAAATATGGCCATAGGAAATATGCCATCCTTTTTAGAGTATCTCCATGGGCATGGAGCACTATGGAGCACTATGATCACCTGTGCATTGTGAATGAACATAGGGTATCATTGAGAGGAGGAAATAGTGGGGTTATTATAATATGTGATGGGGAAACAATGAGAAGTTCATTAATTCTAGAGTCTATTTCCATCCTATGAGAGAAACTGACCATGTCTTTTTATTCTTCTCTTTATGTCTCTTGTTTGTTTTAGACTGATTGAAGGAAAGAAGGGAGTCAAAGTGGAAAACAGACCTTTCCTGTCAAAACTCATCTTTTTCAATGTCTCTGAACATGACTACGGGAACTACACTTGTGTGGCCTCAAACAAGTTGGGCCACACCAATGCCAGCATCACATTATTTGGTGAGAATGTGCCCTGAGCTGGGCACTGAGAGAGTGTGAAGTGGGGAGAGTCCCTGTGGGGAAGAAGCTAGGGAGGAGGCTCTAGAAGGATGGGTATCAAAGGTGAGTTGAGCAGGCAAGAGGGAAAGAAAGATGAAAAAGAAGAGAGGAGAAAGAGAGAATGCAGGTATGAAAGTAGATATCTTGAATGGGAAAATAGAAATGAAACAGAATTTTCATTTCATTCTATAATGAGAAAAATTCTAAATCAGGAAGAAAAGGCTTTGAGATGCTAAAAATGACATTTATGTTTTTGTTTTTGTTTCCTCAGTGGTGTCTTCTAAACTGACAAGGAGACTATAATTGAGTAAAATAGTAAAGAGCCCAGAGAAGAGTATTTACTATTTCAATATTTTCCTCACTGGGTTAATATAACATGTTCCCTTTTCTAAAATGTTTTTCCATCTTTTGGAAAATAAGATAAATCAAATTGTATTCATCAGAATAGAATCACAGGTCTTGGGATCCTTAATAATATTAATTTCAGAGGGAGAAATAATGTAGAAAATGAGGATTTTCCAAGTTCCCCACTTGTACCATTGGATATTGTCTGGCTGGATTAAAACATTCATCCATCCAAACCATCATCTTGAAATATGTTGCATAGTCATTCATGCATTCATTTCCTAAACAACTCTTTATTAAAGGATTAATGTATATAAGGCAAGTTGCTCTAATTTCATTATGCATTTGGCAACTATCTTATTGCCAGAAGCAAGTGAACCAGCTCTCTGGTAGACCCTGGATGCCCCACCTCTCTGCCCAGAGACTGTCTATGCAGAGGTGAGCCTATGTCCCTGTGTGTCAACAGACAGACCTACAGGTGCCTGGCAATGGCTTGGCACCTTGATGGATGCAAATATTCCCTGCACATCAAATGGTTAATTTCTGGTTGCCTTTTGTGCAAATCCCTCCACACCCCCACCACACTTAGTGGTTCTGGGACTTTTCAAATCCATTCTCCAAAAACCCCATGTTGAAAAGTACTCTTAAATGTAACATAAAAGGGGAAAAAATGGGGACTTTGACAGATAATTGGCAAAGACATAAATTGTGGTTATTCCCAGAAATCCTGGATAATCCATCGCCTCAAGGGCCACACCCCTGCCCTAACCCTGCCATATGACCTCAGTAGCAGTGTATGTTCCATTGTGACATCTTTGCTTCCAAATCACATTCTCCCAGCCTCTTGTTCTGCACATAAAATAAAGCCCAGCTTTATCTGAGAGGACTGGGAAAAGGAAGGCTGCCCTTGATCCCAGAGCCTCTAGCACAGAATGGGCAGAGCTATGATTAGAGTGATTGATCTGCCTGGCATCTCTCACACAGGGAGAGTCATGAGTGCCCTCACATTTGTCAGGCCTTTTTTTTTTTTTTTTTTTTTTTTTTGACAGATGTCTGTCTGCAGGCAAGAGGGCCAGAATTAGAAAAGAACAGGCCACTCCTTCCTCTGTCTTGCAAATCTAAGCTCTTCCACATTTTCCCTTCTACAGCTTCCCAAGTCCTACTCTGCAGCCACAGGAGTCCTGATTCCTATAAATAGTCTTCCTCCTCCTCTGACCTTTTCTTTCTTCTGATTTGGATGCAGAAAATGGCTTTGCCATTGACTTTATCACTACTGTCTAATCCCCTAGCCTCCTCCCCTTAACCCTTCTCAAGATGAGAATAGGGAGAAGCAGCAAACTTAAAAGAAAAAAAAAAGGAGTGAAATAACTGGAGTTTATGACAAGTAGTGAACCATGTGTCATAAACACACTCAGCAGACCCATTTGTGACCATTATAACTCCTTCTTCTCCCTGCCCTCCCCCCATTGCTTTAAAAGCATTCAACCTGTGCTAACTTTGGGGGTACTTCAGCCATTGTCAGCTTTCTAGAGTCCAGGGTTCTCTAAAACCAACATTATAAAATGATGGTACCTATGTGAATAAGTTTAGAAGACTGGGTCAAACAAAGATGAATGGGTACATGTGGGGTCCTCTTTAATGCAGGAATTCTCAAAGATTAACCCCATTAATGTTGAAGATGAGCATTTTCAACCCATTAATTCAAGCCAAGTCTAGTGCAGACATTATCATGGCTTCTAAGCTCATTATTGAGCTTATTTTTTTTTTATCAAGTTGCCCATCATCATTATCATTGAGGCTCCTATCAATGAAGTCTTTTGACAAATATAAATTTATTAGGAGATTTTCCATGTCATTTTCCTTTAAGTTCTATCAAGCAGATTAGGCAGATGGGAAAGCAGCAGCATTTACTTCACATGAGTATATGAATTCATGATGAAGTTCATTCTCCAGAAAGCCAGCTAAATTATCATAATTTTGCCACCACCTTGTACACAAACTGCATGCTCTTTCCATGTTTCCTAGACATTGAAAAGTGAGGGATTCTGATGCAAGATATTTCCATTGTGATAAGGATCTTGGGAGACTTAAGAAAAGAAACAGCATGCTCATTCCTATCTCAAACTAAGTGGGCTCCAAGCATCTGATCTCTGGGATTGCAGAACTGGCAGTAAACACGAGAATTCTGCTGCCACATCCCTGAATCAGTGATTCCTGGGAGATCATATTCCAATCATATTGCCATGGGATCAGAAGTTCTTGAAGTTGAACTTCTTTGAAACACCAGGGGTGAGGATATGGGAGAGAAATCTCTCTGGAAAGAGGCTTCAGCCATTTGTTTCAAATCAGAACCTCAACTCAGCACAAGTGACAAGTGAATTCATTTGTACTGGAAAATATATACAGTGGCCAGGTCCTGTTCTTCCCAACCATCCCATCCAATACGAAACATAAAGCATCTCAGTGTTTTTCTTGCTGCACCTTGTCCTACCACCTTTGGTTTTTGTGTCTTCCTTTATTTATCCATTTCTCCAAAAATGCTTGTAAAAAAACAGTATACAAACTATATATGACAAATATATAGCTACTGTATATAATATATGTGTTTGTTTTCATTTTTCTCTCTTGTTGTCCCTCACCCGATTTAGAACTAAATGAGCCTACAAGCTCAACTTTGTTGCAAGGTCAGTATCCCCCTTGCTTTATGTTTTCTCTCCCCTCCCTTCAATCCCAGAGCCCCCACTCCTCTCCCTTTCCCCTGTTGTGCATTACCTGACACTCCTTTCAGTAAAGTTGTTTAGAAGATGGTGGTGGAAGGCTCTTTAAGGAAGTTATTGGGATCTGGTGAAAATCCAATGACAATTCTCTTTTCTCTGCTCACCCCTTGCCCACAATGCCCCAGGAGGTCTGGGAAGGGAAAGGAAAATAAATATCATTCACATCTCAAAACCCAGAGATTAGCATGAAGGCAAAAGGTTAAAACTACATCTGAATTAAAACCAACTGAGCAGCTTTCATAAAGAATCCTATTGATAGTCCCTCAGCAACAAGGTCAAACACATATATATGGATGATTGAAATATTCCATCAAGTGCATCACTTGGCTCACATGACTCTCCAAGGGAGGGAAGCAGGCTGGTGCAGCATGCATGTTTGCCTACAAGTAATGATCTAGAGAGGGTGCCTTCCCTTTTAGTTCAGAGCCTGACCTTCCGTAGTTCTCTGTTTTGGGGTAAGTCATTAAACTTTATTCAATTTCCTCTTCTATAAAATACAGTCGATTTGTCTTATCTACCTTACAGAATCAGACAACATTCAACTTGAAAATATGTAATAAAAAGACTTTGAAACAGGTGCATTTTGAATCTCCAGATACAAGTCAAAGAGAAAGAGTTACTTCGATGGAGACCATTCCTTCATGGAGCATCCTATGGGGTCCATTAACTCATCCTTCAAATCCTTTTCCCAGCCCCTTGACATCCCTTCCACATCAAGTTCTTTTCTCATGTCCACTAATCTAGTGTAAATGACCCATTAAGAACATGCCTGAGCATTTGGGCTGAGGGGTAGAATAAAACTGGTGCCTTTTGGGTGCTGTAGTTCTCCTCTTAAGGACAGTGCTGAGTCCAGCAATAGTCCAGCAGAAAGACAGCTTGTGAAAAGAATGAGGGGAATGGTTTTTCCCACCTCCCAGCCCAACCTTCCCACCTCCCTCTTCCCACCTTACCCTGTTCCACCATTCACATTCCAGATGTTCATCCTGTTCACCCATTCACATTCTAACTGTGCAAATGATCATAGAAGGACAGTTTTAGACCTGGGAGGTGGATGGGAAGAGAGAAAGAAATCAATTATGTGAGGAGCTGTTTGACAAATGAGGAAAAATGCTTGTATCTTGAAAAGAGTCAGGGCTGCATAGTTCACCTTAGTGATATATAGTAACTTGGTAATGAACCATGAACAGGAAAACGAGAGAAAGAAAGAGGAAGGAAGAGGAAAGTAAATGAACATATTCAGATTCAAGTTATGATTTAATGTATGATTATTGAACCTCCATGTGAGACATAGTCACAGATGTGAAACAGCATTAGAAAAGTAGCCAACATAAATGGTATTAAAGGAAGGAGGGACTGAACTTACAACAAATGATTCTTCAGAAGTGCCTTCAGAAGTTACTAAGCTAATTCTGGCTACTTAAGGCTTTATTCTCAGAGGAATAAGAAACATTTGAAACTTGGGTAGTGGTTTCTAATAAGCTAATATATTCAGCTAAAGTTATATGCATCATTTCACATCAAAGTCATCAGCAACAAAACCAAGCTGAAACAAAAATAAAAACAACCTGAACACTTTACCTAGTGGCTGAATATGGGACTTGGAGCTGGAGACATTGTTATCAGGCTCTACCTGCCAAGAGAGAGCTGGGTTGTTTTCTCTCTCTCTCTCTCTCTCTCTCTCTCTCTCTCTCTCTATATATATATATATATATATTTGTCTGTAATTCTATATATATATATATATATATATATCTCACTCTCTCTTCCCTCCCCCAGTGATTTTATTTTATTTATATGTTTATTTTTGTGAACTGATTGATTTGGGTGGAATGATCTCTATGCCAACTTTCTAATTTCATTCTCTTGAAGTGTTCAGTCCCTCATCCCACCAACCAGAAGTAGTAAGTCATAGACATTTGCAATATTCTGACAGCTGAGTTATGTGGTCTTTAGTATAGCTGCTGGACTTTTTGATACAACTAGGAATATTTTAAAGGAAACAGACCTTGACCCTGGGCACACTCACCTCATTCATCTGTGCTCAGTTTTCCTTCTTCCTTTGCTACTCTCTGATGCAATAGAGAGCAACCTATTTTCTTAGGGAATACCTTCAAGTTATGCACATCTTATCAGAGAAGTGTAAGAAAGATTTATACCAACATGTGGATTTCCACTGACAGGGAACACTGGTTTTTCAGAGAAGTTCAAAGCTATTTTGCTACACAATATCTGGATAGACTAGAAGGATTCTGATAAGGGAATTTCATTCCTCCTCAGCATTTTTTTGCCACCCTTGAAGTATTTCTCTGCCTCCCTTTTGCAAACACAACAGATTGCATGTCACCTTCTCGTATTAATATTTGGTGGTGCAGGATTCTTGCAATGATAAATAAGGACTCGGTGCTATGCCAACCATCCCTCATGAAACTTCTGCACAGGCCAGTATGCGGGGGCCCACACTGCAAGCTCAGCGGCTCCTGGGCTGCTCATTTCCCATCCACTGGCCCTTTGTCTTTTATCTTCTAGGCATTAAGGCAGATTTGATGATATCAGTGGGCTGGGAAAAGTTGGCTGATTAATGCCTGTGAACCTCACAGTGACCATCAAACCAATTTATTAAAGAATGGGAAGCAAAAGTAAAGTCTAGATATCAGAAGGAAACAATTGCAACCACAGAAAAGATGATCAGTGCTTCCCTGCAGAGGATTAAAAATAGTTAATTAGGCCAAGCCACCAAGGCATCCACAATTAGCATTTCTATGGCACCTGTATGTTAAAAAATAAGAGAAAGTACAAAAAGAAAAATTTCCCTCATCCTCTTTCTGGAAAGGTGGTATATCTGTTCTCATCCAGCATACCTCTGCTTCTTATTCAAATAAGACAACAGCCCAGAGCTTTCCTGACTGTTGGATTCAGCCATGAGTATTCAGCTTTTTCCTGAAAAAATAAATCACTATGAGTTGAGCTGAAACACTGAATACTGACCAGTTGGAGACTTAGGGTGTATGTAGGGGATTCTTTTACCTTGCATTTTCTTTTTCTTTCTCCCTTTTATTTTCCCTCTTTCCCCTCCTTTTCTTTCTACCTGTATCCCCATTCTTCCCTTCCCTCTCTTCCTTCCTTTTTCTTTCTCATGACTGTATTTTCCCACTCTGTGTGGTTCCTTCTTAATGCATCATTAACAAAGAGATCAACTAAATTTCAGTCAAGGTCCTGCTGAAGAAAGATGTATGCTTGGATTATCAGGGATTGTTTCTTTTCCTGATAGCAAGATCTTATTCAAACACTTCAGTATGTGGCTCGCACTGGCTTTGAAGCCACAAGCAAGATTTGTATTTATAGAAGGTAGAGCCAACAGAAACATGTCAAGCATGTTTTGGAGGACTGACATTGAGCAGCATTCTTACATCACTTCTTAGTGCTAAAGTAAAGGAATGATGGGCCAGAGCACAGCATGATGGGTTTAAAGTAACTATGAAGCTTATCATGCTTAGGTTTCCCTTTCTGTGCTAAGAAAGGGTACAAGAACATTCTGTTTACCTGGAAGGATTGACACATTGCTACCTGGAAAGACCCAAGGTTAAGTTTTAGCTGAGGTCATGGGTGGGTATCAAATTGTTCTTTATCTTCATGGATGCGCTTTAGCATTGAACTTCTTTGAAGTAGTGATTGTTATAGATTAGCAGGGGTGGGGAGTGGGGGAGCTAGACAGGAACAATTAAGCTAAAGTTGTTTTCAGATCATTGCTGTACAGATAATCTCTTCTGGTTGTCTAGAGCAGGAACTTTGCCTTTGATTTTTCCCCCCTCTTCCTGATAGTCCCAACTGCCAAATGGAAATGTCCTCTGTTCCTCCTCTAAAAGTCTGAACCAGCATCCCCTTCACTCTGTGGGTGACTCTTCCCCAAGCTTACCCTTTATTGCACTGCTTATGGTTTGGGGGTAAAATGTGTGTGACTATTCATCTTCTCAAGTCTCTCTTCAAACTGCCTTCATCCTAGTTGTCTTTTTTCATACAGGGAGATCCAGAAATCAGTGATACCTGAATAAGAACATTAGTAAAAAATGCCCTTCCTAAAGTTCTGGCTGTTTTCAAGGGCCCAGTGAGCACTCTAGGGAACTGTCCCTGCTAAAGGCACAGACAACATAGAACCATCACTTCTGTACTTTTTCTACTATCCCAACTTTACATCAGATCTTCCATCAGTCATAAAATATTTAACCATAGATCACCACTTATGTTTTTATATCTTCAGAACAATTTTTCAGGGTTGCTAAAGTCCATTTCAATAGAGACGGATATCATATATCTGTGCCTTTAAAAACACAATGAGATCTTGAATGCACAAGTATGTATTCATCTGACTTTGAACAAACATTATGGTTGCATTGAGGAAGACAGTTGTATCTAGGTTATCTTTCTATATGTGAGGACATTTGTCAGTTAACATAGATTTCAAAGCCATCCCCTCAATCAAAAGTCTTTAAGGACACTTTTCACCCTCTCAGTACCAAGTGAATAATTGCAGAGGCTTCTAAAGAGGGAAGTAAGAGATTAGAGATGATTACAACTTCTGACCAGACAAAAACACCTCCTATCCACAGAAGAGCTGGGGAGCCTCTGTGACGTGTTCCGAGAGTTTGAAGCTAACAAATTGGGAATCTTCCCTGGTCTAACCAACAAAGAGGAACTGGCTCCCCAGCATTTCTACAAGGAGGTGAATCAAGTGCAACTGTGGCAGCACAGGTGTGGATCTTTACTGCCTCATGTGACCCAAAGAGATGAGACCCAACAGGACCAAGCTGGTATTGTCTGACTCATCAAGAAAAGTCAAACATCAAACATCTGGGCTCTTCTGGCTTCTTCACTGGTGTTTCTAAAATGTATAGCTAAAATCAGGTGAAAGTTTTATATTTCAAACCAAACATGGGCACCCATATTAAAACTATGATATTTTACATCCATCTGTACCAGTCACTTTTGTACTTAAGACCCACACTTCAACACTTAGGAGTTACTCTGATAGCCAAATACAGAAATTTGTTTTACAGAAAGGTTTTGACATGACAGCTCAGGCTGCAGAGGTGTCTCCTGTTAAAATGAGGTGGATATTTTGGCTCTGCTTCAGTCTGTGGTCTGTTCTGACCATTACTTATATCCTTTCTTAGTCCCCAGTTCACTTCTAGCTGCCTTAGAACATTGACATGGGTCACTATGAGTGCTGGGCTCTGGTCAGGACAACGAGAAGCAGGTTCAAGAGGCCTGGGGAAGCTCTTGGGCCTGAAGAATCACCAAGTTCCTAAAACCATCTGAGGGCAAAGTGAGCACTTCTAACAACTTTCTATCTTAACAGTGGCCTGTTTTTTAATTTCTTTTAGAAGTGAAAACTACAGCCCTGACCCCTTGGAAAGGTTAGTATATTTATTTTCAGGAAGCTGCTGCTTGGTGGGGTATGTAAAACTCTTTACCTTCCTCCAGGATGCCTTCTTTTCTAAGCTCACACCAGGAAGCAGCCCAGAGGGAACCCTTCCCTGACCTTGAGCATCTCTGTGTCAATTTCTATTAACCCTGTCCCTAAGGACATCCCATTCTCCCTGGGTAGCTTCCACTTGCACAAGTCTAACTTGTCTTTGCTGGCGGCACTAATGAGCACCTGTCAGTGCCCAGAATAGCTGCATCTCTGAGCTCCTCTGTACCAGGCCTGCCTCTTTCCTTGCACAGGAATGCTCTAATGCAGTGATCTTCTTAGACCTTGGCCTTGCATGCTGCCCTTTGCTTATTCCCTTCTCTCTCTCTCTTCCTCTCTTTAACTTGGAACTGGAAGGGCAGTGATGGGAGGGAGGGAGAAATGGGAGGAAGGGGGAGGTTCTGGGGTGAGTCACTTGGCTAGGAATAAAATATGTCTTATTTGCGGCTTTCATTCCTGCCAGATGTTTCCGATGGATAATTGACACTCATCACAGTTCTCTGGGACCCTAACTGTCCTGGTAATTAGTCTCTTTAGGCTTCCGCAACTCTCTAATGAGATAGAGGCAATAAAGACATCCAATGTGAAGTGGAAGTGTGGCTGGATGAAGAACAGAGGCCTCAAATGTGTGGCCCTATCGCCAGGCAGATGCACAGAACTGTCACTCTGGCAGGCACCAACTCTAAGAGGCCTAGCTCCCAGGACACTATGATTCTTGTCTGCCTGGACAAACAACCACATCTCATAGCATTTTTTTTTTAACGTAGCATTCATTTAGAGTGGGAAAAAACAGTCATATGTCTGTGGTGCCCACCTTAGCCAGTTCCCAGTTATCACTGTGGGCCTCACTCTTTCTTCTCTTTATTTCCTGAAGATCAGGAGTTGTACAAAAAAGCAGCTCTGAGTTAGTGAGAAGAAAATTGCCTTTGGAGACAGAAGTCAGGGGACTTGGGGAAAGCCACTTAAGCTCTCTGAATTTAAGCCTCCATCTATTATAAAAGAGATAATAATCTGCATCTCCTATATGAGTGTCATCAGTACTGTGATAGATAACTTTCCACCTGAAAGCATCCTACCTGAATTCCTTGTCCATATAACTTTGCTTCTATGTAGACATTCACTCAGCACCAAAATTTTTAGTGACTTTTATTGGACAGTTAAAGAAAGGGAAGAAGGGTATCTGGAAGAGGAAATTGAGGTAAATCAAAGACAAGATAGGAAAGTAATTTTTTTTTCCCTCTCATTTGGTTTGATTTCTTTCCCCAAGTATAATCTTAAGAGAAAGAAAACACAAGGATAAAGTAATTATGGACACATCAGTGTGAGTCACAGTACTCTCTACTTCCATCAACAAACATCTATTGAATACCTGCCATAGGCCAATGAGACACAGACTCTGCCTTTAAGAAACCGGTATAACAGAGGAGAAACTACAAGTTATACAAACAAAGACAATTTGAATATGGCAGGGGTGGGGAGTGTTTTAGTAGGAGAATGTATAAGATACTGAGAGCACCAACCCAAGTGGATTAAGAAAGGTTACCTGGAAGAGGTGATTGAAGGCCAGAACAGAATCTAGAATAAAGAATGGGAGTGAGTTAGATGAAGTACATCTCTCGTAGAGGGGCAGAATGTGTGAAGTTGAGGAATAAAAAGAATATGGCTAGAGGGTGTCCACCCATGTGTGTGTGGGTATGCCTGAGTGTATATACATGTGCCTGTTTTACATGGGACAAAAGGCACTGGAAGATGAGGCAGGAAGAAAGGCTGACAAGGTAGCTAGCAGGTAGATCATACAGTGGGGTGCATTTTCTGCCAAAAAAGTTTGAACATTTTTCTTAAGACTATAAGCCTCAGATTAGCAGCATGATTAATTTGGGATTATAGAAACACCACCTTGGAATTAGCATAAAGAACAGATTTGAGGGGTCAAGGCAGCAGGTGGCAAGGCCCAGGTGGGGAACATTTTGTGAATGGAGTGGCGGGGATAATTCCTGCTGTCTCCTTTGGGAGGATTGTGTGGGGTACCTGTGCCTCAGGGAACACCTCTGTCTCCTGCCCTTTCTCTCTTGCTTCCTCCAGTTTCCTGCTAGAATCTATGGAAGCATAGTAGTTAGGGTCATGGGGAGGAGAAGGACTGCCTGTGTGGACTAGAGGGTGTGGGCAGACTGGACTTGCATGCTCAATGTGCATTCCTCATGCACAGTGACTCTGACAGCCCCTTCTCAGGCCTGAATAGGAGAGCCCAAAGGCCCCTGAGCTTCTCCAAGAGGAACCATAGAGAGGCTCTTGGTGCCCTTTTTCTGTTTTCTGTAGAAAACATTGTCCCTAACACAATGGGTTAGAATCTGTCTTGAAAGACTCCCTATAGTGCTTCTTAGCAGGAAGCAGAGCCTCAAAAGAACTCTGAGGGGTATCCAAACAAGGCACCACAAAGAACACTGGGCAGAGCCTCCAGGCCATTGTGACTTGACATTGTGGGGTGCCCTTTGCCAGCTCACAGGTACCTCTTAAGCTATGGAATCCCCCACCCAGAAACAATGTTCAGCCTTTTCTTACATGGTACGCAAGTCAGGCCCCTGTTGGGCTGTACACCTGGCTCTTGGTTCTGTTTGCTGGTCAGGCCTGCAAGGAGGAATGCAGGAGAGAAGGATGCTCTCAGGGATTTGGCATTTGTTCTCTAACTCCTTTACCACTAGGCATCTTGTTAGCCATGGTGGGGAGCTTATAGGAAGAGATGTGGTATTCTGAGACTGAGTAGAGAGTTGATTTCAAAGCTGTGTCTGTGGAGTGTTCAGAAGAGTGAAATAGGTAAAAGAAACAAGAGTTCAGGTGCTGACAACTCTGGGTCCTTCCAGGAGCAGAGGGTATCAGGTATGCAGGACACATTTGGAATTGTTCTGGGCAATGTGCATATATGGAGATGGAACATGACCACTAGATCTGTCCAGGGGAGTCATGGGACTGGGCTCCCATAAAAGCCTTTTGGGTCAGGAGGACTTGGAAATGATAATCTTTGTCTCTTAGATTCCTTAGTCTCAGGTCCAGGCAGGGTTCTTGTTGGGAAAGATCTTGGAGTGGCCCAGAAGAAAAGACTTTATCAGAGGAGAGAAACATAGCTTCTTACCCTTAAAAGTGACAGAAAATGGCTTCTTTCCTTTGGCTCCAAGGAAAATGTTCTGAAAGATCACAGTGGTGGTTTGTGTGGTAACATAGTAGTTAGATTCCAGAAGACACAACCAGTTAGTGTCCTATCTTGAAGGACCAGCTATTGAAATGTAAATCCTCATGCATGTCCTTTTGTAACCAAGGATTTTTGTGGCCCCAAGGATGCCATCAGTTTTGTGTTGCCCAGCAGGTCACCTCCTTGCAGGGTGGAGAGCAGAATAGATTTCCTGAGGATTTCTCAATTTGGGGATTTACACTGCTGCAAACTTCTGGCCTTGAGAAAACTGAACCAGATACCAGAGAAACAAGAGTTGCCCTGCTACATCTCAAACTTGTGACTATTTAGCTACCACCCCCAGATCAAAGATTTATTCCAAAGGGATAAAAAATACAATCACATGGGTAGTGGCCCTAGGTCTGAAGTTTGTCATGTCCTTGACAGGACAATCCCATATGGAATCAAAAAGCCAGGTTTGATTCTGAACTGACTTAATCAGTTCTGAGACTCCAGTGCTGAGCATCCAAGTCAGTCAAGCAGGTTCAGGCTCTGTTACTTATTCTCAACCCTGTGAAGAAATGGACTGAGTATAATCACCAGCTTTAAATACCTCTGTGAAATCAAGACAGCAGAGAATGTGAGGACACACCCAATCACAGAGGTATCTTAGTTAATCAGTCACCGAAGTCACCTGGCATCCAAACTTAGGTACTTTTCAGGAATCATAGATCCATTTGGAATTGGGGTTTCTCGGCCACAATGGTCTAAGTAGCCAAAAAGCTGATGTTTCAGAGCAATGGAGAAATTACTAGGGAAATTTTTGGACACGAAGTCCTCTTGCTTCTTGTGTTCAGCTCCATCTCAAAGAGCATCTGCTTTGCAGGCTTGGTTAGTCTGTGCCTCATAGGGAAATGTGCCCTCCCTTTCCCTTGCTTGTCCTTCAGGATGGGTCTCCAATTGGTTTTGTCTTCTGTACTCCAGAGTCCATTTAAATCTTTAATTACATCAATGTCCATGCAGAAAACAGCCTCCTCTTTCTTTACTTTGTCCCACCTCCACTCTGTTGGGCTGATTTGGAGCCTTTGGGCATCTGATTCATGAGCTACATCTGCTATTATCTTGTCCAGATGGGGAAGAGGCCAAGCACTCCAGGTAGAACCCAGCGCCCTACCCTGAGATGGAGTGATTGACAGAATGGACTCTGTGCCCCATGCAGCAGTAGCAGCCGGCAGACAGACTGTTGTTTTCAACAGGTCCTTTTCTGAACAACAGGTTGAGCAGCTGGAGGGTTGTGTGAATGATCAAGGCAGTCAGAGCTCAGAAGGGGTTGGGTGAGAATACAAACTTTGCAAGGGTTTATTTTATTGAAACTCCACGTAGGATATTTATTCAGCCACCTTCTTGAACTCGACCTTGAGCCATGGCCTTAGCATGTTTATAACACAGTAAAGGAGTGATGCCAGCAGGATGCTTTAACCTGAGCCTCCAGTTCTCTACTTGCCAGGGAAGGCTTCCCATGGTGTCCTGTGTGCATGGATGGGTCAAAGCTTGAGAAAGTTCATTTCTAATGCTGGACCTGAAATAGCCGATGCTCCACTTTAGGGATGCCTTAGCAGAGCTAAGTCTGATGACACCAGACCAGGCCACTCACAGGATTTTCTTCCACTTTACAACAGGCAGCTCATGACCAGTGCGTTCTTTTCACAGGCCCCGGCGCAGTCAGCGAAGTGAACAATGGGACGTCGTCACGGAGGGCAGGCTGCATTTGGCTTCTCCCTCTTCTGGTCTTGCACCTGCTCCTCAAATTTTGATGTGAGTGCCACTTCCCCTGGGGGGGGAAAGCTGCCGCCACTGCACCAACAACACAACCGCAACGGCAACCTGACAGCAACAATAAGAATCAAATGAAATTCAGAGAAACACAGCCTAATGGGACAGAAATTCGAGGGAGGGAAACAAAGAATACTTTGGGAAAGAAAAAAAAAATGTTTTAAAGAGGAAATTGAAAATTGCCTTTCAGATATTTAGGTACCACTGAGTTTTCTTTCTTTTCCCAAAACGGGAAGAATGCACACCCGGCTTGGGCCCACCCGCAAGCTGCACCGTGTGACCTCTCTGTTGCCAGGGTGGGCAAGGGCTCAGATGCCGTGCCCACTAAAGTGCCCCACCATGGAACATTCTGGAGTCGGCCATCCCAAATTCCATCCGTCAGTAGAGACAAACGCAGAGTGAGCCATGCAGGCTCAGATGTGCCACGGCGGGCCCTTTGGTAGACTGCGCCACCATTGTGTGTGTCATGAAATGTGAAATTAAAAAAGAAAGAAAGAAAAAGGAGACAAGACAGCCTGACAGCGACAACGATCCCACAAACAACAGTCACAAAAAATCTTGTTAAACATTTTTTTTCTGTTTTTCATTTTACTACATGGACATGATGGATAATAAGGGATTCTGATTCATTATTAATTTTATTAATTATATTTTCTGATATGAGTCTAGAACTTAGTGCAAAAACAAGACGAAACTAAAATATACACACATGAGAGGGGTAAAGAGAAATGTGTTTGTTAAATATTAAAAATGAATAGTGTTATCTCTTAACTAGGTTTACAATAGGTGGACCACACACCAGGAATAAGGACCTGGTGAGGATTTGGCAGATCCACCAAAAAAAACACATCCAGTTTAACCAACCTCTCCACCAGCGCTACAGATTCCTCCTTTTCTGGCATTTCATGCAGACAATACTATGCTATCTACATACTGTTTAGAAATGGAAAGTTGATCACACTGTATCTTGGGTTTGTTGGCTATGCTTCCTTTGATGACATATATTATACAGTATATATATACATATATTTTTTTTGTTAGAGTTCTAGCCATTTTGTTTCTCAGCAGGGTCCTTTCTCAGACATTACTGCATGCTGTATATGGCGTTAGCTGTGTGTTGATCTTCTAAAAGATGATAGAGTTTACTGGTAATTGTGTAATCAGCTCCTGCCTTTTTATTTTCTTGGGTTATTTACACGTCAGAGACATTTATAAAAAAAGTGAAAAGCAAAACAACTAATACCAGGCGCAGCATTTTTCCAGGTGTGGCTCTCTGAGGCGAAGGCCCTCTTGTCCCAGGTTGCCTCGCTTCTCCATCACGCCTCGGGGCATTAACAGACAGCAAGCAACTGAACAAACTAAACTGTCAGTAACCACTTGCTTTAGCCCATTATGGGAATCCCTGATGCCTTTGTGACCACTGGAGAATTTAATCCTCTTAGTTGATTTTATTTAATTTCCCACCTTTGTGTGAGTGTGTATGAAAGAGAAGAAAAATGCAGTTTTTAGGTAACCTTTTTTTTTCCTCCCCCGAAGTCTGGGAACCAGAGCGGCCTCGGGGAGGGGTTCTGGATGTGATGAGGGAAAGTGGGATTGGGGGATAGGGGAGGGAAGGGTTGTCTCTGACTTGACATTAAAAAGTGTTCCATGTCCCTCTTTACCTGGTGTGGTACCTCATTCTGCAGCAGGGGAGGGGAGAGGTACAGAGCCTACCTGGCCAGGACTGAAGAACAGGGAGTGGGGACGGGATCTTGTACCCTTCCTGGAGTGGGTGGGAGTATACTGAGACAGGCAGCCCAGACAGGAGACCACTTCACAGAAGCAAGGGGTGGAAGTGGCATCTAATGGGGACTGTCTTCAGTACCTTCAGAATACCATGGCCTGGCTGCTGGCACCCCACTTGTATTTAAGTCTTTCACCTCCTTATAGGGGAGAATTTCAAATCCAGTCATGCAGAAGGCTTTTATGTCTGTTTCTGATAAGCAATAGAGTGTGGCCATCACCAACATGGTGGTGATTAAATAATCCTGAATCCCATCACCCAGTGTTCTGGGGACTCTCTTCCCTCCATATCTGTCCCCTGCCCCTGAATATCACCTCTAGCCACAAATTCAGAGGAAAGGCAGATTTTAATGCAAAATAATATTCATGTAATTCTGTTCTGGGTGGTTCTAGAAATTAAATAAGCAGCAGAAGGGATCTTTAGTGCCTCCTGAGAGGAGTCAGAATGTTTGCAAAGGAGAAGTATGATTTCCCGAAGCCACTAGCAAAATGGAGAGGAGATTATTGACTTCACTTTCCTCTGTGCCCCTCTGCCCTCCCACCCCACCCCAGCCCCGGGTGTCAACTTCTTCCTGGCAGCATGGTATGGGAACAGGCTGGCCCTGGCCAAATCTCTATAGTTTGGATACATTTGACTGCACCAATGTATCTCTATGTCCTGGACCTGCTGAAGGTGGGACCTTTAGGTTTCCTTGGAATGAAAGTGGGTTGGTGAGACTCACTAACATTTCCCTGCCTGGTACTTCTCTGCAACACGGGCTGGAGTTTTTGGAGACAGGTCATGGATCACTGTAATAGAGGGGAGATGCCAGCTGATTTCCATGTTCCTATACTGGAGACCTGAAAACCCTTTGAGTAAAATATGCCAAGCCTCCTGAAAAGAAACCCTTCGAGGATCCACTAGGATGAGAGAACACAGTGTACACAGGCTCTCTTTGAAATGAAGCTTCTCTTTTCAAATATAGTACTACCAGATTTCCACTAGCAGACAGCTACTAACATTGACTAGACTATTCTAGCAAATATGAGTAATACCTACTATGAATAACCATGCTTCAGAGTGCTGCTCCCAGCAGTGAATAGCATTCAGGGCCAACTTTGTAAAGCAGTATTGATGAGCTTGACTTCATTTCACCTATGTGCCAAATCAATAGTCCTCTTGCCTTACAGTTCTTTAGCAATCTGGTTGTGCAAGAGCATACTCTTTGTGGACAAGCGTTACTGTGACTGGTAAGTTCTTCAGACAGGAAATCTACCTATCCTATCAGGAGGTGTTTCTTCTCATCATGACATAACATGCCACATGAGGCCCAAACTCCTAAGGGAATATACAGGTACTCACGAGAAAGAGCATTCCCCTTATGGGCCTTAAACTAAATTGAGGGTTCAATTTAGGAGAACAGGGCTTTGATAGAAGCTCACAATTCTCAAGTCCACCTTTCCTGGGAACAAGAGATTGGCAGGTGAGTGCTCACTAGAATGAAGAAAGAAAATCACTTGGAATAGAACCTGTAGTAACATTTTTCTTGGTATAGGCTCAAGTGGGAGACAATTCGTATGAGTTGGCCTGGAATTTAAATGTCCTGGACCCCTGTGACTCAGAGATAAATCACTGCCATAATTTAGGATTACTCCACTACCCTTAACATTAGGAAGACCCTTAGGGGAACCATCAATTAGGATTGGTAGATTTCTATCCCATGATATTCTCTCAGTATGTAGAGGGGTTTGTTGAGTCTGTATTATTCCTATCTGCTCTCAACAAACACCCCTATAAAACCCTATTCATCTTATTTCAACAGAAAGTCTTTCCCTATCAATGCTCTACACATTAAGCCAGGGTATCTACCTTGAAGCACTGTCTGTACCTATCCAAGGACTGCCCACTGATCAGTAGGATGTACCCAGCAAAAGTTATCTATGTTCCTAGTCAATGACTTACTAATGTCTACATTTTTTTTGCAATACATGATGATGATGACAGTGATGATGAGTGACAGCTATTGTCCTTCAAGCTGGAGATAAGTTAGCAAATGAATTAACACTAAAATCTGATTAAAGTTTAGCACATTCCACTAGACTGACCTCATCTTTATCTTAAACCTGCTGGACTATGAGTATAAAAGGGAAGTAGCATTAATCCATCACAAGATGGACTTGTTTGATTAAAAAATATAAAATATGAGTTCAGCAAAATATCAATGATTTTTTTATTATTATTACAATGTAAAAAATGAAGTACTCACCATAAAAGGAAAAAAACTATGCAAAAGGAGGGATCTGAGGTTTCTTCTCATACAGAACCAAAATGCCATTGTGCTACTACTGGCCAAATGTATATGCACATGCCAGTCATTTACCCTTCTTCAAATAAGCAACTTAAAACAATTGAGATTAGTGATATGTTACAGAGGAAATAAGAACTCTCCTTTCAGTATATCTTTAAAAAAAATTTAAAGTAAATCCTAGAGCTAATTTGACTCAGATCTTGCTCATTGGTATTTGATTATATGGTAGTGTTTCCTTTGTCATCCCATAAGTGCTCAATCAAGCCATTCTAGCGCATCGATTCTTACCTCTCTCTCATATTAATTCAAACAGTATTTCCATGAGCATCCAACTCTATCCGCCTCCAAGGCAATCCACGTAAATTAATATCACCATGATTTGTGTATAACAGTTCTCCGAATCTCTGCTTCCTTTCTCCCCACAACTCCTTGAGTCTCCTATCATATCCATACGATAAGACCACACAAGCATTTATAGAAAAGACTTCCAATTCCTGAGCTCAAATTAAGATAAGATTTTACAATTTGCTTTGATACATTATCCTTATGAAGGGGACCTGGTTTGGCTTTAGTTTTTTATAATATTTGACTCCCATGCAAACCTCTAGGTAATGTGGATAACTTCTTCCAGTATGTGGTGAAAGTTTATTTGAATATATGTGAGTTTGTTAATATTTTAAATGAATAATTTCTTTATCAAAACATCTGATTAAAACTTCCTAGAGTAGCCATAGCACTTAAATTTTCTCCAGTGAATGTTTGAGTTTGGAATTTCTAAGCATTGTAGCTATGTTTTGTTTAGGGAACTGAGTTTCTAATTAGTAAAACTAGACTCTAGCCCAGATCTCTTACTAATTGAATTCCCTTCCCTTATCTTTTATATAAGATATTATGATAAAGATTGTAATATTCTATCTAGCTTTAAAATTTAACATTAAAGTGATATGAGATTTTATAAGATTTTGGCAAGAAAAATCTAGTAAATCAACCTTTTTGTGCTGTGAAAATTGAAGGTGTGAATCTGGGGAAATTTTACACCAAATACATTGTCTTTGTTTCTTTTCCTTGGTAGAAATGTGCATAATCATTGCTCCTATTTCTGCAGATATTTGCAGTGACTCCTTAAGGAGAACTTGAGAGATAGGTACTGCAGTGCTTGGAAAGAAGTGTTGCCTAATAAAAGACAGTGGCTTTTTCTGGAACAGGAAATTATGTTAGCCCCAAGCTGCCCTCTATATGACACAAGTAAAACAAGAGAGAATAAACTGCAGCACACCATGAAGTCTGGGGAAGCAAAAAATATTGGACTAAGGAAAATTCTCAGAGTTCCCACTATAAGCATGAATGTGTATGTGTGTATGTGTGTGTGTGTGTGTGTGTATGTGTTTACTGTAATTACTTAATTGCTTAATGCTTCAAAACAGATGACACCTGTTATTCCCAAGCTTCATCTTTAGAACAACAGGAAATAGGAATGAAAAGAGGGGTCCCCAGATAAGGTTTTCAATGATGATTTCTCATCAACCTGATAAGTGTTGTGCTCAAGGGCCCAGCAGTGTTTGTCCGGGTTACATTAGATGTTTTTGTGTATAGCTGATTCAATTCTAAGTTTACTGATTTGTCTTTACTTTCACATCCTTCCCAATAGACTCTGAGCTTCATTTTTAACTCCTCTGTGAAGAACTAGAGGATATGAGAAAAAGGACAAAGCTCAGACTGAGTTTAGGGTGGGAAGATGTGTGATCCCTGGTACCTTTTCCCTAGTGCTAGTGCCCAGTTGACCTTTTAAGCTTCAACTCATTCTGAAATTTCACCTTCAGTGTGGATGGGAAGATCTGATGAAATGATCCAGCCGTGTTTCCCACACTGTGTAAACTATAAAGGGTGATAGCAATGTCAAGGAATAGGAACACAGATATCCTCATCTTCTCTGGGGAAAAAAAAAAAGAGGAAGAAAAAAAGAAAAAGAAAAATTCTTTATGTTACTGATGAACATGCACCATGACAATTCCTTTCTCCAGCATTCATAGTTTTCATTCATAGTTGGCCTTCAGTAAGGAAGACAGAGAAAGTAAGATAGGAAGCTATGGTCATTGTCGATTAAATACTAAATCCTTCTCTAAGGGTTCATCTTAAAACTTAGCAAGCAAGGGAAATGGAAATCAAAAGATAAGTTAGAAAAGAAATCAAGACAGTTAAAACTTGTCATTGAGTCTGTAGATGGGAGGAATCAACAGCCACATACATCAAATGTTATGGTGATCCAGACAGTCAAGGTGAGTCCCTGCCTCCTGCCTCACTATCCCCAGAAAGCACTATTCCTAGATAGGATCTCACAAAATACAATCAGGTTTTGCATATTGAAGGGAGCATGCTAATTTCCTCCATCCCTGAACAACAGGTGGAGGGCATATAGAAAGAATATGAAAAAAGCAGCCAATCAAACGGCATCGGGTAGTGTAGTACCTCTGGCAAGTTGCTGTACCTGTCAGGCCTCGGTTTCCCTGTTGGTAAAATGAATGTTAGACAAGGTGGTCTCAGAAGGTCTTCTGAGATCTGAAATCCTCTGGGCCTTTTTCTAAATTCTT